ATCGCTTTAGATGACTTAGCGTTTCGGATGACATTCGCAAAATCACCCATCGTAAACTGTGGAGGTACATCCTCGGCGGGAAGAGCTCTTATACGACGTAGTATTCTTCGCCTCGCCCTATCACTCTCGGGGTGCTCGACAAATTGGCGGTTAAAACAGCCAGCGCACCTCTTCGGATCAGTCACAGTTACGTCGTTAAATGTGACTGCTGTCCTATCATCCTTTTTTCCAGGGTTCGAGAGTGACTTTACCGTTACCCACAGTTTACTCAAATCGGTTCCAATGTTGCAACACTTCAGATGGTCTAGCCACTTTTTCCGCTTATGCTCCTGTACCAACCGGTTGACTTCCACTGTCAGTTCACTGACTCTGGGATCAGTAGGGTTGGTACGTCGGAGTTCATCACGCTCATTCGCTAATCCCGCTGCCTCTGCTGGGAAATTTGGTCTTACTTCGGGTATTCGACCAGCAGGTATATAGCGAGTGGCTGCAGCTTTGATGATGTCCCGGAAAATCCTTTCAGCTACCTGAACATCAGAAGGATTGGGCAGTTTTCTGAAGCGAAGGTTGGTGAACTCTCTGAACTAGGGCCAGTGGGCTTTCCCATGGTTAAGGAAAGTGCGGCGTTCAGAGGTTATGAAATCGGGCGATCTGCTGATGGAGACGATTATCGGGAGATGGTCTGAGCCAAGAGAAATGACGGGTTGCCAAGTCACGTCATTTATCGGACCGGGTGACACGATGGTTAAATCTGGCGAACTGTGACACTCTCCTCTTATTCGGGTGGGGGCATCCTCGTTTACCGTGCGAAATGTGGAGCAGTCAATCTGCTCTGCCAACGCTGATCCCCTCTGGTCATTACCTAGGACGGAATGCTACAACTCATGGTGGGCATTGAAGTCCCCTAGTACCAGGCGGTTATTGCCTTCCAAAAGTGGGCTTATATTAGGCAAGTAACGCGGTTCACAGCTATTAACCGGCGGGATATACACACTAAGCACCTCTACCTCGGCAGTACCACACTTGACTGCTACCCCCATACACTCCATGTACGGGTCACTAGAGACTAGCTCAAGCGAGATAGGTCTGTATTGAACAGAATGGTGTATCAGGAACGCTAATCCCCCACCTCCACTTCTGGTGCGATCTTTCCTCAATACGTTGTAACCATTGCAACGTTGTATGCTACAATTTTCATTGAGCTTGGTTTCCTGCACCGCTGCGATCTTAATATTCCTCCGATTCATAAAATCCACTATCTCATCAATTTTACCTCGGAGTCCGTTGCAATTGAACTGCAAGAATGATGCATTGTCCGGAATTGGAACAGCAACATGTGGCGTTAAGTGCTGCGGTAAAGGTTGCTGTTCTGGAGACTGCGGGGGAGTTCCATACTCCGACGACGACTCGGAAGTTGACGACGAGGTCGTGGACTCACTGGGGACTACGTTTGTGCAGCACGAAGCAACATAGTCCCTATCGCTATAATCTCGCAACCGGGTTAAACCGGAACAATTTCTAAAATGCACCCATCCTCTGCATCCATTACATCGAACCGAGACTGATCTATGGTGGATGGTGTTTTGGCAAACCGTACAGAACCATGGTCCGGGGTTTTCCTCAAGCCCGGAACGGACCAAAAGAATCCGGAGCAAGCATTCCGGGATGTGCTGCTCCCAAAACAGAAAAATAAACAAACACGAACATGTATACACTGGGTTGGCAGCCGCTGGCCGAAACTGGAGCGTTGTTGTTTCGGGTCAATCCGGTGTCGTAGAACCCGCTGCCGTGGGATTGTGTTTTTAATTATATTTTGGACTTATGTTTTTTTTCCAATGTAGATTTTGTAAGTTTTTTAAATTATATACTGGACCCTAGTGTTCTTATGTCCCTAAGAAGTAAATTTTTACTCCCAACATGGCTAATGTGAGATTATGCTAGCATTTTTCCATTTTTTTAAACCTTAAATCTATATCCATTTACAATAATGACTTGCATTAATATCTTTAAAACTGCTTCAAGGCCCACCTATAGTGAGTCGTTAACGTTAACAGTTGTCGACTGGTGCATTTTATACTTCCCCTTCTCCCTCTGTCTCGCTTTTTCATTCGATCTTGAAGGTGATAAGCATTTTGCTACAAGTATATAATTACAAACATATTTTGTAAAAGTTTTTCCTACGAAATGTGTTAAGTAGTTTGGAAACGCCCTAAACTAAAAACTTAACTTAACAGTGCTGTGAAACTAAATAAAACGGTTGCGCACATATATAGACAAGATGGGATATAAAGAAAAGACAGTGATTGAGGAAGGGGAAGCCTAAAAAATTCCTCCAAATAAATATATGAAGCTAAATTAAAATTAATTTTTTTTTAGATTTTCAGAACACTGTGCCAATAAAATGCATTAGGTAGTTTTAGGTACAATACAAAAGTGGATATCTTTCAAATGCTACAAAATGAACAACGATTGCTAAGCAAATGTGTCACTCTTAGGCACTAACACCCAGCAAAAATACTCATTACCAATCAGGTATGAAAAGTGTACTTATTTTTTGTCCATTAGAAGTCGATAATTTTAAGTGGCCAAAGAAATACATATTTCGTGCCATAAAATAAGGGTTTTGTGAACCGCTTTGAAATGTGTATTTTTACTGAGTAGTGTTTTAAAAATAGATCAACTTATTTACTGGGTCTTGTTGGCTGTGACTTGTCCCTGTTTTATAACTACTTATGGTGTTAAAATACTTAATAAACCCCTTATTTGGTAATGAGATTTTTTGGTAGGCGACATTCTTGGAAGTTCATTTGCTGTGCTTGGTTTGCCAATCTATCTATTACTCCCAGAAAAAATTTCATTACCAAATAATGGCTTTTTATACCCTCAGTCATATGGCTAGAGAGGTTATATATCATTTGATACGGCCTCATCGAAATAACGGTTTTTTTAGACCCTAGGTATCTTTGGACCAAATCCGTTTCAGGACATTACTAATGACAGCCACACACCCTCTGCATTACCAGTACCCGAAAAATAATGACAACTATATACACTCAGCATTGGCAAAAAAGCTTGAAAATAATGAGATATTCCTCTAAAAATATTTAATATTTTAAAATATTTGAGAAGATATCGCGGACTCCTCTGATTGCCATCTATGGCCTAGCGGAAAATGTCATTACCAAATAATGGGTATACTCATTACTTCGTAAGATATATGCAAGGTACTTTTGAGTCCGCGACATCTTCTCAAGCCCTCTGATCTGTCATACTCGATTTGTCAACCTATATTTTTGGGTTCTTTATCTTGTCTTTATCTTTCCGCCTCTCAAAAAATTAGGTATTGTATTTCTCCATGCTCCGCCCATAAGGATTGTATCATAGTTCCGTCCCCTACCCATAGATAATTTGCCATTTCTTCACAATTTTTGCCGAAGACAAAAGATTCCGATCATGGGCTCTAACTGACTGTAGAAGTACTCAGTAGTCTAGTTAAGGATTAAAAAAACCCTAAGAACTCAAAATTCCTTTGGGTGCTTGATCTAGTGGCTTGTTATCAACACCTTCCCTGGAATTTTTCCATCTTCGGATTAGTTGTTGCAGTGTGTTGCTTGAATCTTTTCTTTTCCGATTTGCTTAGAATATGTTTTGGTCTTTTCTAGACTTGTCAAGAAAGGATAGCCCATTCTTCATTTCCTCCGTGGGTATAAAAAGGATTAATTCTGTGTTCTTTACAACTAGTATCCAGTTTTGAAAACCGAAATTGTCTGTCGATGTCCTATCTTATAACGAAGGCAGTAGCTTTAGTTCTGTATCCTTTTACAAATATAGGTTTAGTGGTACTTTCTGTGGTTTTTGCCCTGTGGTACATAAAAAAGCAAATATGTATGATTGACCTTTAAAAAGGATCAGAAATTATAGCTCTGGTGATCCTTTAGAAATCTGCGAATTTATCTCTGGCGGCCCTTGAAAACCAACGATTTCTGCCCTACTGGTCCTTTCAACAATAAAAGGCTACAGCTCTGCTTGTCCTTTTAAAAATCCATGAATATGGATTTGATGGTCCTATAAAATCAACGATTATATCTCTGGTGACTCTTTAAAAATTTCCGGATATTGCCCTTTAAAATTTACCGGATATAATTCTGCTGGTCACGATCATGAAATTCTTGGAAGATTTTTTTAAAAATGTACGATTGTAGCTCAGTTTTTTCCTTAAAAATCTTCGGATATAATTCGGTTAATCCTTCAAGAAATGCGGGATATTAGTCCTTAAAAAGTCGTCGAATAACGCTCAGTTAGTCCTTCAAAATCTTCGTTCAGTCGATTCTTAAACAAACTTCTCGGATATGATCCTTCGGAAACTTTGCGGATAATGCACTGTTGGTTCTTAAAATACTCAGGATCACAAAAAAAAGTTGACCATTTTTTTTAATTCACGATTGTTGCTCTGTTGGCCCTGTAAAAATCCTCGGATATAGCTCTATTGGTGCTCTGAAAATCCTCGAATATGTCTTTGTTGGTCCTTTGAAAGGCCCCGGATATGACTCTATTGGTCCTTTAATAATTACAGATGTATCCTTCTTGGTATTTTAATAGTCATCGGATATAGCTCAGATGTAGCTCAGATGTCCTCCCAAATCCAAATACTTCTTTTGGTCCTGTAAAAATACACTGATATAGCTCTATTGGTGCTTTAAAAGTTCCCGGATATGTTTCTGTTGATCCTTTAAAAAATATCGGATATGGCCCTTTTGATCCTTTAAAAGTCTCAGATAAAGCTCAATTGGTCATTCAAAAATCTCTGAATGTAGCTCCGTTAGTCCCTTAAAATTCCTCCAATATTTACCTGTTGATTCTTTAGAATAATTTGGACACAAATCTGTTGGTCCTTTAAAAATTTGAGCTATTTTGCGTTTCAGCCTGTGCCTCATCTTGCCTTATATATAAAACGGTGTTTACATTTGAAGGTTCAGTTGCTCCTGGAGCTTCATTTCGCACATAATCTATCGATTCGAGTAAATAATGACCGAAGAGCCGAATACCAAAGCCTTGTTCAAAACTCATTTCATAGCATGGCGGATTTTGGGTATGTCTCCACCGGACAACTATCGTCCCCTGTATTGGATCTACTCAATTTTGCTGAACATCTTTGTTACCATTGGCTATCCGCTGCATCTGATTTTTGGCCTCTTCACCAGTACCACCATGTATGAGATTATACAAAATGTGGCGATAAATTTCACCTGTAGCGTTTGTGCCATGAAGACCATTGCGATTTGGTGGCGTTTCAATAAGGTCGATGTTATGTTTGAAATTATTCAGCGGCAGGATCAACGTTTTACGAGCCACGAAGAGATAGCCTATCTCCGAAAAGAGGTATATCCACCGGTTAGACGCATCATTTTGCTATTTTCCATTTTGTGTACCTTCATTGGCATATCGGGAGAGTCGGCGGTATTGGTTACGGGCCTCTTGGGTACTTGGAATTTAATGTACAAGGCCTATTTTCCGTTTGATGTCTTTGCCAGCACAAAAAACTATATGGCTGCCCATTTGTATCAGTTTATTGGTATCTCCTATTTGATTTTGCAAAATGTGGTCAATGACACATTTGGGGCCTCCCACCTCTGCTTGCTGCGAAGTCAGGTTCGTATGTTGAATATTCGGGTGACGAAAATTGGTCATGATCCGAAAAAGAGTCGTGAGGAAAATAATCAAGAGTTACTGGAGTGCATCAAGGTCCACAAGGATCTGCTGGAGTAAGTTGGAAGGATATCAAACAAAATTCAATTTTGGCAGAAATTTAATTCTCTCTTTATCCATCTCTCTCTCTCTCTCTCTCTCTCTCTTACACTGGGTTCCCTTGTAGATATCGCCGCCAATTGGAAGAAATCATTTCCATTTACATGTTCTTCCAGATATTAATCGCTGCCCTCAACATGTGCGTCGTTTTGGTGTTCATCATACTCTTTGTCAGAGACATTTTCACCCTGGCCTATTATGTCTCGTATCTGACATCGATGATATTCGAAATACTTCCCAGTTGCTATTATGGTACTCTACTGGAAGATGAATTTGAAGATTTGGCCTATGCCTTGTTCTCGTGCAATTGGCCCAAACAAACTTTGGAATTTAAAAAGAATCTTCGCATCGTTGCCGAACAGGCCAAACGTCGTATTTATGTCACTGCCTGGCTGTTTCGCATAAATAACAATGCCTTTTTGATAGCCTGTAAGAATGCCTATACTTTGTTCGCTCTCGTCATGAATATGAAGTGATTTGCGACCATGGAAAACAAGGATAAATAATTTTCGAAGTTAAAGCTCACAAAATTGTCAAAATATGAGGATTTATAACACATCGCTAAAATTGAAGCATAAATAATGTGGATGTTATATCTAAGTTTGGTATATGAAGGTGGTTTTGGAAACGTGTGCCATTATCGTACGAAAAGTACTGAATAACACTGTATTTGGTATTGGGTAAAGGGATGTAGATGAAATTCTGAAATTTAATTTTTAGAAATCCTGAAAATTTATATGGATGTCACTGTTGGTGTCTGTGGCTAAAATATGGAGGTGGTATTGGAAATGTGTACCGCGAGCGCACGAAAAGTGCTAAATTTGGTACTGGGTAACAGATAGTGTTTGCAGTTTGAAATTTTGTATTATTTTTGCTGATCATGTGTAGCCTGTACATATTAAGGCACTTTCGGAAATGTTTAGTACACATTTCCGAAATTTTACGAAAAGTACAGCATTATACGATATTTGGTATTGAAGGGATAGGAATCCCAAAATTTGATATTGGGGTTTCTGTTGGTATCTGAGATAGAGATATGGAGGTGGTTCTGGAAATGCGTCCTTTATTTGTACAAAAAGTACTCAATTTGTTATTGGATGAAGTAAGAGGTCTGGAATACTTAAATATGATAAAGAGGTCTCTGCTGGTATCAGCGATTGCAATGTGGAGGTGATTTTGTATATGTGTACTATAATTGTACGAAAAGTACTAAATAGTACTTAATTTAGTACTGGGTGATCGAATAGAGCTGGAATCAGGAAATTTGATATTGGGATCTATGATGGTATCTGATATTGAGATATGAAGGTTGTTTCGAACATGCGTCATATATTTCTACGAAAAGCACTAAATTTGGTATTGGGTGACGGGTAGGGCTGGAATCCTCAAATTTGATATTGTGTTAACTGTTAGTATGTGGAATTGAGATATAAAGGTGATTTCTGGAATGTGTACCATAATTTTACGAAGAGTACAAAATAGTACTAAATTTGGTATTGGGTGAAGGTATACAAGGTGAGATAAAACAAAACTGCAACAAAGTCAAACGCCATCATTTTTAAATTTTTTTAAAATTTTATTGAAAGAAAGCAAAAAATGTCGGAAAAGCATCACATTTTAGAATAAGTTTAGATTTAGATTGGTTACCTTTGACACGAATTATGGCCTTCAAACGGCCAATGAAACCATCACACGCTGCCCGAATGTTGCCCTCCGGTATTTTGGCCCATTCCCGGCGAAGCGCTTGCTTGTGGTGATCGACATTTTGACATTTTTTAGTGCCAATCTTGCTTTCCAAAATACTCCAGACACAATAGTCCAACGGATTGGTATCCGGAGATTTTGGTAGCCATTGTGTGCTGGAAAAGGAAGCGAGGAATCTAATTTTGCTGTGCTGAGTGCGATAGTGCTGAGTCCTGTTGGAATGTCCAAGGTCTGAGGCCAAAATATTTGCGTGCCTAAGGCTTTAATACAGCCTCCAGAATATTTTCGCGATAATATTCGGAGCGGAGAGCGACCATCGGCTGTTATGGCGGCCAACACCATAACCATGGCTGGCGCTTGAGTTCTGGTGGCCAACCGACGGTGCTCATTTTCAGCTGACTTCTTTGGCAAATAAACACGATAATTTTGTTTGTTAACAAACTGCGGGACCACGAACGTTTTCTCATCGGAGAAACCCAAATTCGACAGTTCAACACTTTCGGCCAAGCGAAGCAACTCTTTAGCTCTTTTGAGTCTATTTTCTTTCTATTGCGGTGTAAGTTGTTGCACTTTTTGGAATTTCCATGGCTTTACCCCGAGCTCATTTTTCAATATTTGACGAATGGAATATTGCGATATGTTCAGCTCACGAGCCATTTTTCGGCCACTGCGACGCGGGTTTCGTTGAAGTCGCTTCTTTACTTCTCGAACCATTTCAGCTGATGTTGGTGTTTTCTTCCGTCCACTTCCTTGACGTCTGGCTACGCTACCAATATCACGGTAACGAGCGATGGTACGAGACACAAAAGATTTATTCACATTTAAATGCTGGAGTGCTTTACAATAGCCACTTGTGGTTTTCCAGCCAAATATAAAGAAATCACACTATGACGCTTGAATTCCATCACGAATAACTTTTTTTCTGGAAACTTCTCAAAAAAATGCGTTTGTACGTTTGTAAACAATATAATGAGCTGTCGCTGGAATAATTTTAACAGCTGTCGGACAAGTGGCTTAGAAATAACAGCAGTCTGAAGTTAGTTTGCAGTTTTTTCATCTCACCCTGTATATAGAGTAAAAAGTGAGTGACTAACTGAGGGATTCTTCAAAGCCAAGACGAAACGGACCCACATTTTGCATGTGTTAGTGGTAGGGGTAAGATAAAGCAGGGTTTTTGAAAATTCGAAATATGAAATGTGTATTACAATTGTTCGAAAAGTACTTAATTGTACTAAATAGGGTATTGGATAAAGGGATAGAGGTGAAATCCCGAAATTTGATATTGAGGCCTCTGTTGGTGTCAGTGGTTGGGATACGAAGGAGGTTTTGGAAATGTGTACTAATTGTGCGAACTGTACTCATTGGTACTAAAATGGGAACAGTTTGGTTAAAGGTAAACGGATGAAGCTGGAATTTAATATTTAGATTACTGATTGTATCCTCAAATTTTATATTGAGGCCACTGTTGGTATCTGGGATTGATTGAGATTTAGCAATGGTTTTTAAAACCCGTCCCATATCTTTACGAAAAGTACTAAATTTGGGGTTGGGTGAAGGAATAAGGCTGGAATGCCCACATTTGATATCGAGGTCTCTGTTGGTATCTGAGGTTGATATTTGGAGGTTGGATTGAAAATGTGTACTATAAATACACGAAAAGTACTATATTTAGTATTGTGCGAAGGAATAGAGCTGAAATCCTGAAATTTTATATAGAAGTCATTGTTGGTGTTTGTGGTAAAGATGGAGGTGGTTTTTGAAAAAAGTACTATAATTGTTCGAAAATTTTATATTGCGATAACTGTTGGTGTCTAGGATTGAGATTTGATTAATGTTTTCTAAATGAATACTAAACTTATATGAAATGTACAGAATGGTACTAGCTTTAGTATTGGGTGAAGAAAAAGAGCTACGATTCTGAAATTTCACAGGGATGTCACTGTTAGTGGCTGTGGTTGAGATATGAAGGTGGTTTTGCAGCTGCCTTTATGCCGTAAAAGCCGGAAAATTTATTGCGATTTAATTTAAAAAAATGTCAAACTGAAAAAATTATACCACGAATCGTTTTTAACATTTTAAGGTGGTATTTTCATTGACGAAGTAGCCGACACTTGCTAGTTGCATATAAATTCTAAATTTAAATTTCAGAGGACCGGTGACGAATGAGAGAACGACTGTTTGTTACATTTAAACTTCTTCTACCTCTTTTTAAATAAAATGAATTTCAGTGTGTCAGTGACGAATGTAAGTCCTCATTTTTTTAAGGACCACTATTATTATTTAATTCAGTTCCTTATCCCCCACTCCAGCCTTTAGCACGTGTCCAGTTCTGATAGCACGTAAGTGTTATGTCACCTCAACTCATTAAAATTTGATAAGACAGACAGACCCTAATTGTTTCGCAAAAAGGGTTAAAAGGTAATTGCCGGGATATTACTAAATAATGAGATGTCATCAAGTATTAAATAAAATAATAAAAAAAAAACTAAATGATAAATTAAAATAAATGTCAAAGGAACATATCCTTCATGCCTTATAAAAACCCGGCTCCTTTGACAAGGAAGTCACATTCAGTTCGAAACATTTAAATATAACGGAATTCAGTTTGGAGGTTCTCAACGCGTTATCCATTCCCTCTCGTCATGTCGGAGACAAAACTACACACCAAATCTTTGTTTTGGGCCCATTTTGCCTGTTGGCCCATACTGGGCATGATGACACCACCGAATGTCAAATACAAAGCCCTCTATTGGATCTACTCCTTTGCGGTGGTTACCATTCTCATGATTGGATATCCTCTCCATTTGATTTTGGGTCTGGTGTCAAGTTCTTCGCTCAAGGAGTTAATGCAAAGTCTCAGCATTACTCTCACATCGACGGTGTGCTCCATCAAGACAATGGCAATTTGGTGGCGTTTGAACAAGGTCACCGATATGTTCACCATCATACGGCGCCAGGATGAACGTGTACGTTCCACCGAAGAAGTGGACTACATGAAAAATGTCGTGTATCCCCAAGTTCGATTTGTCATTCGTCTGTTCTATGTCATCTGTGGGTTTTTAAGTCTGTTTGGTGAACTATCATTGGTTGTAGCTGGTCTCCTGGGTAATTGGCGGATACAATATAAGGCCTATTTTCCCTTTGATCCCTATGCCAATACCAAAAACTACGTTATTGCCCATGTCTACCAACTGCTGGGTGTGAATTTTACTTTGGTGCAAAATATTGTCAATGACACCTTTGCCTCATCGCATTTGGCTCTGCTGCGGGGCCAGGTGGATATGTTGGCGAGGCGTGTGGCCAAAATAGGTCATGATCCCCAAAAAACTCAAAGGGAAAATAATCAACAGCTATTGGAATGCATAAGGGATCACGAGGATCTGCTGGAGTAAGTTGTCCCTTGAAATGTAAAAGAAAACTAAATTTATACTCCTTCAAATATGTTTCTATAGGTACCGCCAAATTCTTGAAGAGATCATCTCGGTTTATATGTTTTTCCAAATCCTCTTGTGTGGCCTCAATATGTGTGTCATTTTGGTCTACATGGTCATCTTTGTGCGCAATGACGTCATCACTTTGTCCTATTATAGCACCCATTTGATTGGGGTCATGTGTGAGATATTGCCCAGCTGCTATTATGGCACTCTACTTGAAGATGCCTTCCAGGACATTGCCCATGCCCTGTTCTCGTGCAATTGGATGGATCAGGATTTGGAATTTAAGAAAAATCTTCGAATTTTTATTGAAAATTCATCGAGACGTATTTATGTCACCGCCTGGCTGTTTCGCATTAACAACAACGCCTTCATTGTGGCCTGTAAAAATACCTATACCCTGTTTGCTCTCGTCATGAATTTGAAATAAGTAAAGGATTACAGACAAAAAGTAATAGATTAATAAATTAAATAAATAAAGAAGATTTGTGGAGACCTAACTTTTTCCGATTGTTTTTTATATTACAGTACCTTCAGGAAGTCTTCTATTGAAGGAGACTTTCCGAAATTCTCCTCATTTAGAAAAACTTCAGGAGGTCTTCAAAACTAGAATACATTCAGGAGGTCTTTAAAATAAATAGAAGACCTTCAGGAAATCTTCTAAATTTGAAAACACTCAAGATGTCTTCAATAAATAACTTCAGTAGGGTTTCTAAATAAAAGGACCTTGAGGCGGTCTCCAAAATTAGAAGATCTATATTAAATTAAAAGATCCGCAAAAGGTCTTCTATAATTTGCTTCTGAAGGACTTCAAGTTCAGAAGACCTTCAAGAGGACTTCAGAATTAGAAGTCCTTTGGGAGGTCTTAAAATTAGAAGACCTACAAGAGGTTTTTACAATTAGAAAATAATTTGGAAGACTGTCAGGATGTCTCCTCAATTGGACCTTCTGAAAGTCTTCTATATTAGAAAACCCTTAGGAGGTCTTTTATAGTGAAAACCCTCTGAAGGTCATCTATATTAGAAGACTTCAGGTCTCCCTAAATAGAAGACTTTCAGGGGGGCTTCTATATTAGATGACCCTTTGGAGATCTTCTAATATAGATGACCTCCAGAGTATTTTCTAATATAAAGCAAGACAAGAGGTCTTCAGAATTAGAAGACCTTTAGAAGGTCTTTAAAATTAGAAGAGAAAATTAGGAGGTCTTCGCAATTGGAATGCCTTGGACTTCAGAAAGGCTTCTATATTAGAAGACGCTTAAGTTTTTTTTATATTAGAAAACCCTCTGGAGGTCATCATCCTTCAGGAAGTCTCCCTAAATAGAATACTTTCGGTATGGCTTCTAGATGATCTTCTGGAGGTCTTCTATAATAGGAGACCTTCTAGAGGTGTTCAAATTGAACAGAGCTTCAGGAGGTCTGCTATAAATACTTTCAAGAAATCTTTTATATTAGAAGACCTTCGGGAGATCTCTTAAACCAGAAGACTTTCAGAAGGTCTCCGAAATTAGGACTTCTAAATTAGAACGCCTTCAGAAGAGCTTCCATATTAGAAGGCCTTCAGAGATCTCCTTCAGGAGGTTTTCTATATTTAATGACCATCGGTAGGTCTTGCATATTCCAAATCTCCTCAATTAAAAGACCTTCGGGATAACTCCAAGAGGCCTTCTATATTCAAAGGCCTTCAGGAGGAGGACCTCCTCCTTCCTTTTCGGAAGGAATAATAGGAAAATGTTCACCTTTTACACCAAAAGGCTTCAAAATCTTTCATTTGGAAGTTTACCGAGTAAAGCCATTACACAATGGAGCCACATCCAACTTTCTGTCCAAAACTATTTCGACGTCTCCATATGTAAACCCTAGAAACCGTCAGTGACCACAATATCAAATTTCTAAATTTTGATTCTTTTATTTCATCCAATACCAAATTTAGTAACGCATATCCAAAACAAACTACATCTCTGTTCACCAAAATTGATACAAAGTTAGTACAATTTAGTACTTTTTCGGATAATTAAGGTACACATTTCCAAAACCACCTCCATATCTCAATTTCAGATACCTCTGTTGGTATCTGAATATTTAATTTTGGCCTAGGACATTTGGAATCGATAGAACTCTTATAAAATGTGATGTAAGTGTATTGTCTTCAAATTACTCACGTCCCAAATATTTTTTTAAACCAAATCTGATGTGAAAATGGGATATATCGGTCCACTCCATCTGGTACCTCCCCCATAAAGGGTCAAAATTTTGAATAGCCATGAAGCTAATAAAACACGGAATTAACATCCGATTCCATTCAGGCTTGGCACATCTCAATATTTCCAGCAACCCAAGATCTGTTCTGAAGATGGTAGAGATCGGACCATTTCTTCTGGTACCTCCCCCACAAAGTGTCAAAGTTTTGAATAACCAAAACGATTTAAAATCCAAAATAATCGTCCGTTCTCTTCAAATTACACACATCACAATGTTTTAATTAACCCAAGGCCTAGTGTAAAGATGGTAGAGATCGGTCTACTCCTTCTGGTAGCTCCCCTACAAAGGGTCAATATTTAGAATAGCCATGAAGCTCATAAAACACGAAATTAACTTCCGATTCCATTCAGATTTGGTACATCTCAATATTTCCATCAACACAAGATCTCGCATAAAGATGGTAGAGATCGGACCGTTTCTTCTGGTACCTCCCCTACATAGGGTTGTAGATTTTGAAAAACAAAACGCTGAAAGGAAGCTAAATAAACATCCAAATCCCTTCGAATTTCACACATCCAAATTTTTTTTGCTAACGTAAGATCTGTTATGAAGATGATATATTTCGGCCAACCCCTTCTGGTACCTCACCCACATAGGGTCACAATTTCCAATGCTTATATCTGTCATAACTGGCGCAGCAAGTCGGTGATTATTTACAACTTGCTTTATCTAAATTGTTCTCTTAACAACTTCCTTCCAAATGGTGGAGGGTAATAAAAGTTCAGCCCGTCCGAACTTATCTGCTGTTTTTACTTGTTTTGCTTGCTTCTTCCTTTCATCCATCTTAAATTTGGTCAACACACGTGCCACTTGGCATACCCTCTGCATTACTATTTAAAATTACGGAATTATTCTTTCAGGCAAAAAATTACTTTCACATTACCAAGTAATGAGTTCCTACCACAAATTTGTGTACTCATTACAAACTCGATTGTCAAGGCAAGGACATATTGTAAAAAATAAACATTTAATTTTTGGACACTAAAAGACTTTCCGTGACCAAAGTCGAGAAAGAAGTACTTTTTTAAAATGGTGGTTTCGTTAACCTACCTACCTTCCCTCTTTCACGTCTAGTTCCTAACTGTATCCATTTATGCTGCCACATTGTGAGTGTATAAATCTGGCGGCTAAACCGATTGATTACTTGAAATAATTTCGTCAATTAGAATCGATTTAAAAAGGGTCTTCATAAATGTTTTAAAACCCTTTATTTTGTGTTTTCCAATTTGATCGACCAAACCCTCCCTCTCTCCATTTCGCCGCCATCGAAAATAATGTATATAATATTGACAGCAAGCAAAGTGTCATATCCGCCTAAATCTACTTATCAAAATTTAATTAAATTTTAATTACGTCGGGAAAAAGGGTTATAATTGGTGGGAGATGATTATTAAATAATGAAATGTCAACGTGTATTAAATAAATGTCAAATAATAATTAAAATTAAATCATATCGATGTCGTATAAAAACAAGTCCCTTCGAGCGACACGGCCACATTCAGTTGAAAACATTTCAATAAAACACTCAAAAAGTGTGTGGGTGTGCGTGGGTGTGTGCAATGGACAAGGAGTTAAATACCAAATCCCTCTTCAGGACACATTTCAAGTGTTGGCGCATATTGGGAATGATGCCTTCGAAGAAATATCGTCTCCTCTATTGGATATATTCCTTAATCGTCAACCTCTTGGTCACCATTGGATTTCCATTGCATTTGATTTTGGGTTTATTTCAAAGTACCTCACTGTATGAAGTTATCCAGAATTTGGCCATCACCTTAACCTCAACGGTATGTTCGATGAAAACTTTTGCCATTTGGTGGAGATTCAAGGACATTGAACGAATGTTTGATATTATCCGGAAGCAGGATGAACATACGCGACATGGTGAACAACTGGAATATATGAAGCGGAAAGTATATCCTCCAATAAGATCGCTTATTAACTTATTTTACATTCTATGCAGCATGGTGGCCCTATCGGCGGAGTCGTCACTGATTTTCAATGGTTTACGTGGATCTTGGGCGCTAATGTATCAAGCCTATTTTCCCTTTGATCCTTTCGGATCATCGGGGAATTACGTTGTGGCTCATATTTATCAATTTATTGGCATAATTTATACGGTCACCCAAAATTTGGTCAATGACACCTTTGCCGGTGCCCATCTGTCGTTGTTAGGTGGCCAGGTACGTCTGCTGGGTATGCGTGTGGCCGAGATTGGCCATGATCCCAAAAAATCGTTGGCTGAAAATAACAAGGCATTGCTAGACTGCATTCATGATCATTTGGATTTGTTGGAGTAAGTAATTTTAGAGTCGAACAGGTTTTTGGGGTCTACTGTGAATAGAATCCCTTTAAAAAGTTTCCTGGCCCCTTTCTTGAAGCTCTTCAGAACGTAATCTAAAGGGCCTTATGTGCATAGAAGGTCTTTAGAAGGCCTTATGTGTATAGACCCTTTTTGAAGGACTTCAATAAGTAGAACCTCTTTAGAAGGTCCTCTCTCTATAGATGCCCCTTCGAAGCCCTTTAGAAGGCTTTTGTATGTACAGAAGCTTCGTAGATATCCATCTGTGTATGGAAACTCCTTTGAAGCCATTCTGTGCATATAAGCTCTTTTGAAGATCTTCTATGTATAGAAACTCGTTTGAAGCCCTTCTTTGTATATAAGCTTTTTGGAAGGTGTTCTATGTATTAAAGCTTTTTAGAAGGCATTTTGTGTTTGAAGCTTTTAAGCTGCCTTCTTTGTGTACGCAGGCCTTCCTGTTCTTTGTTTTGTGCACAGAAGCTTCTTAGAATGCTTTCTGTGTAGGGAATCTCTTTTGAAGGCCTTCAGTGAATAGAAGCTCGTTTCAAAATCCTTCTGTTTATAAAAGCTTTTTAGAAGGTTTTCTATGCATGAAAGCTCCTTAGAAGACCCTTTTGTATAGAAGCTTTTTTTAAAGATGTTCTGTGAACAGAAGCTTTGTAGAAGGCCTTCTGTGTAGGGAAGATTTTTTGAAACCCTTCTGGAAACCCTGTTTATAAGAGCTCTTTAAGAAGCCATCTCTTTGTAGAAGCTCTTCCGAAGTCTTTCGGATATGAAAGCTCTTTGGGAGGCTTTCTGTGTTTGTTAGCTTTTTAGAAGGTGTTCTGTGCACAGAAGCTTTGCAGAAGGCATTCTGTGTAGGGGAGCTCTTTTGGAGCCATTCAGTGAATAGAAGCCCTTTTGAATATCTTCTGTGCCTAAAAGCTCGTTTACAGGGCTTCTGTTTATAAAAGCTTTATAGAAGGTATTTTATTCATAAAAGCTCTTTAGAAGGCCTTTTTTATGGAAGACACACAGAAAAACTTTGTATTGAAGCTCCTTTTGGGCTTAGAAGCTCTTTAGAAGCCCTTCTATGTACAGAAGCTTTATAGAAGGTCTTCTGTGTATGGAGCTCTTTTGAAGTCATAACGTCTCCTGTGTATAGGGGCTCTTTAGAAAGCCCTGACTTTATAGAAGCTCTTCCAAGGCCTTTCGGGTATAAAAGCTCTTTAGAAGGTATTTTGTGTATGGGAGCTCTTTTGAAGGTCTTTCGTTTTCAGAAGCTTTTTAGAAGGAATCCTGTGAATGGAAACCCTAGTGAAGACCTTCTGTGTATAGAAGCTCTTTAGAAAGCTTCGGTGTATTGAAGCCCTCAAAGGCCATTTTGTGAATATAAGCTTTTTGGATAGCCTTCTGTGTATAGGACCCCTACATAAACCCTTCTTTGTATAGAAACTTCTTATAAGATCCTTTTTGTATATAAGTTTCTTGGACGTCTTTCCCTGCACATAAGCTCTTCAGAAGAAATTTTGTGTATAAAAACTCTTTAGAGTATCTCCGTATATAGAAACTCTCTAAAAATCCTCTGTTAATAAAAGCTTTCTAAAACCTCTTCTCTTAGCACATTCGAAGCTCTTAAGAAGATCTTGATTGCAAGTAATACTTTTCTTGAGAATTTTATTTATGAGAGACCGAAGAATGTATTCTGTATGCAGGGAGCCTTCAGAAAGGGTCTTCTTCTTTACATAAAATCCATTTTGAGGATTTTTCTAGGAACTGAAGAAGCTTTTCTGGGTATAAAAGCTTTACAGGGGCTTTTTTTAATCTTACATCTCTAGGGGTTTTTGTTGTTATTTTTCCTCAAAAGCTGTTTCATCGTTCTAATCCTGTTCGACTTGGAAATCCCCCATCTACAGTGAATTTTAATGTCTTACTATGTTCTCCCTTTCCCCCTTCACAGATATCGTCGCAAAGTCGAAGATGTCATTTCCCTGTACATGTTCTTTCAGATACTATTCTCCAGTATGAATATGTGCGTGGTGTTGGTTTTTATGTTACTCTTCGTGAAGGACACCTTTACAATGTCGTATTATTTATTCTATTTCGTTGGCATGATATTTGAGGTGTTACCCAGCTGTTATTTCGGCACCATATTGGAGGATGAATTTCAAGAGTTGAGCTACACGTTATTCAAATGCAACTGGGCCGATCAAAATGTGGTGTTTAAGAAAAATCTACGCATTTTCGTGGAGCAGGCCTCACGGCGAATTCATGTCACCGCTTGGCTATTTCGCATAAATAATAACTCCTTTGTGACAGCTGTCAAGGGATCATATTCGATATTTTCACTCATTATGAATACGCGTTGAGAATCTTAAATATGTCGCCGGAAAATATGCTAGCAAAATTTGAGTTTTTAAAGCAAAGCGTCTTTACGAGAGCATTGTCTAAATCTATTATTAGATAACATGATTTTGTAGTCCTTTGAGTTTATTATGAACGAAATTTACGATGTGTATTTCAGTATATCTATATAAAATAAAAACTATATAAAAAAACAAACAAAGTGTATAAAAAAATATACACTTTGTGTTGTGCTGTTTTAGTTGTTTAAAGCTTGTGTAGAATAGGAAATGATGGAGGAATATTATGAACAATCTTAAAATACCCTCCCCACATGATAATATACTAGTGTCATGTATGGGGCTATATACTTTTCGTTGCTTTGAACCTATAGCATTTCCATCGATTGCACATAAAATTTTTTTCAGAGAATATGCCATTCAGACTTTCAAACAATGTCAGAGATTGGGAAATTCATTCTCTGTTCGTTCAACCCTAAACAATTTCATTATTTCAACCCTAAACAATAATTTACTTAAATACATAATTATAGAATTAAGATATCTTGTACTTGCACTTTTAGCATTAAGATTCATTTACATATCCTCTTTTCAATCAGTGACTCTCAATTCGTAGATTTTTACGTTCAAGGATGCAGTTATATCATAGACAATGTCATTTATTCAATAATTTTTTCTCAATTTTAAAATCAATTAAAGAGCGGGAAAAATGAATGAAATGTCTGGATTTTCTATCAAAAATATGATCTAAACAGTTCCATCTTTCAATTCCATGGCAAAACTGGCGAATAATCTTCCAATCATTGATTTTGAAAATATTCTGTTTTTATTTTTCAAAACAATAAATACATAAACAAAATTGGCAGAAGTCGGGCACACTTAGAAAAAAATTGTAATCAGCTGGTAACTCTACCTTACCTTTTTATTTTACCATGCTTAGACCCTGGTGAGTATTTTGAGGAGTAACAACCAAATTGTATATACACTTTTTACCCTTGAGTGGAGATTATAAAAATGAAAGGATTATTTTTTTATACTCTCAGCCAGATGGCTACAGAACATATATATAATTATATACGACCAGAACGTGCCTCATTGACCAAATTCGATGACCAATTCGATACATTGTGACTTTTGGAGTCGATCAAGGCGAGTTTGTCTGGTTCGCACAATACCTCTAGAATGGAGTATCCGACTTGGTCAAAACTTTGTACATGGTAATAATATTATCAAACTTCGGAGATGGGCAATCCTTCCGGTACCTCCCCCGCAAAAAGTTTCAAATAAAATATCTTGTTCTTAGAAAGAGAAAGGATCATCCGATATTGCTCCAACTTTGGCAGTCCTAATATTTTCATAGGTTCTAGATAAGGTGCAAAAATTGACAACATCGATTCACTCCATCAAGTACCAACCCCCACCCTCCCACAAATGGTCAAAACTTTGAATAATTATAAAAACACATCCCAATATTTTTGTTAACCAGATGTGTAAAGATGGGATACATCGGTATACTCCTTCTGGTACCCCCCCCACAAAGGGTTAATATTTTAAATGTTCATGAAACTCATAAAGCGCGAAATTAGCATCCGATTCCATTCAGACTTGGCACATCTCAATATTTTTTCATCAACACAACATTTGTTATGTAAGATGTTATAAAGATATATGGATCGGACCATTCCTTCTGGTACCTCCCCCCACAAAGGGTCAAAATTGTATAACCAAAACGATCATAAAATCCGAAATAAGCATCCGATTCTCTTCATATTTCACACATTCCATTATTTCTACTAACAAAATATCTGCTGTGAAGATGGGATATATTGGTCCACACCTTTTAGTAGGGGTCAAAATTTTTAATAATTATAACTCAAAAAAAAAAAAAAAAGATGTTGATGTAAGTGTCCGATTGTCTTCAAATTATACACATCACAATATTTTTATTAACTCAAGGTCTGGTGTGACGATAGAATATATCGGTCCACTCCTTCTGGTACCTCCTCTACAAAGGGTCAACATTTTGAATATCCATGAAGCTCATAAAACGCGAAATTAACATCCGATTCCATTCAGATTTGATACATCACAATATTTCCGTCAAAACAAGAGCTGTTATAAAAATGGTAAAGATCGGACCATTTTTTCTGATAACTTCCCCACAAAGGGTCAACATTTTGAACATCTGTGAAGCTCATAAAACGCGAAATTAACGTCCGATTCAATTTAGACTTGGCACACCTTTGTATTTCTATCAACACAAGATCTGTTATAAAGATGGTAGAGGTCGGACAATTCCTTGCTGTGTCTAAATACTTCTCTTCACCGGAAATCTGATATGAATACGTAATTTATCGGAATTTATGATTTCGCATAAAATTGGATATATATTTTCGATTTCCTTTAAATGTTGCATATACCAATATTTTTTGATCTGTAGTGGATGAAATATGAACATAGAATATTTCTGTCCGCTACTTCTGTAAGCTCCCGCATATTTCCACATTTTCCAAAAATTTACATTTGAACAAATATGAATCAAGTCTGGCAGTCGTAGCTACTTACAAACAGAACTACTGTCCCATTATTTTTACAAGGGTAAGTAAAAACGAATAAAGATAGGAAGCTAAAATTTTGCACAGATCAGTCTTTTGTCTGCAGGCAGGTCAAGTTCGAAGGTGGGTTGTGTCGGTCCACGATATAGTATTGCCGCCATATAACGGTACCGCCCCATTTTCGATTGAATTTTCTTAAAATCCATACTAGAATTTCTTTCTAAACGCTTTACCCCCTGGAAGAGAAATGTCTCTCTGTCCCACTCTATGCCCATGCTACGACTTACTTGGTAATGAAGAAAATTAGCTATATCGCATTGTATGTTTACAAGTAATAGCCTCAGTATATCCAGGTCTGCATTTTCTGTAAATATCAAATTTAATTGCAAAGGAAACTGGTTTCCGCCTCTGATTTGCGAATATACAAAGAATTTTTACTTTCTCAATTCTACCATAACCCATTATTATTATGGGCCGAATAACTCATTAAAAGGTAATGGAAACATACATTACTTTTTAATGAGTTATTCGGCCCATACAGCTTCCAAGTCTTTGCTGGGATCTTATATTTAAAAAATCTCCTAATAATCTTATCTTCGGTAGCTAGAAATTATTTTCTCCCCAAATAGTTGTTTTGAAGTACATTTATGTATGGGAATCACTCATTATCAGTTGACTTACTAGTAATGTAAAAAGTATGCAGTTTTATTTATTTATTTTTTTTTTCGATTATTTATAAATGGCCAATGCAAATGTTTGCTTTGCAGATATATCGAATAAATTTATAAATGCTCTATTTAAATACTACCCTCACCATTGATTCCAATTGGATATCCTTGACCTTGTCTCAACAGGTGATAAAAAGCAATGATTGCGACAACAGGTGTCAAGTGCCATACCATATTTTTTTATATATTTTTAATAAATTTAAATTTTAATTATTTCCAAAAAAAGGATTAACAAAGTCGTCTGCAATGTTATTAAATAATGAGATGTCTGCGCTATTTTAAATGAATGCAAATACTATTTAAAATCGCTTCGCAACAATGCCATATAAAAACGAATCCTTGTGCAGCAAATGCACATTCAGTTTCCGACATTGAAATTTCAAACTCAAACCGTTTCTCGATGGCTTTGTTGCAGAACAAATTGAATACCAAATCACTCTTCAATACACATTTTATGTGTTGGCGTATTCTGGGTATGCTGCCACCGCAGAACTATAGGCCCCTCTATTGGGTGTATTCGTTCATTGTCAATCTAATGGTAACCATTGGTTATCCTTTGCATTTGATTTTGGGCCTATTGACCAGCACCTCAATGTATGAGGTAATTCAAAATCTGGCCATCACCTTGACCTGCACAGTGTGTTCGATGAAAACCTTTGCCATTTGGTGGAGATTTCAGGATGTGGATCGAATCTTTGACATTGTCAACCGGCAGGATGAGCATACCCGGTATGGCGAACAATCGGATTATATGAGAGAAAAGGTGCATCCTCCGATCAAGTGGTTAATTATTCTATTTTACATTCTATGCAGTATGGTGGCCATATCGGCGGAGGTTTCGTTGGTGGTGAATGGCTTGCGTGGGTCGTGGTTGCTAATGTATCAGGCCTATTTTCCCTTTGATCCTTTTGGGTCGTCGATGAATTATGCAGTTGCCCATATTTATCAATTGATTGGTTTAGTTTATACTGTCACTCAAAATTTGGTCAATGATACCTTTGCCGGTGCCAATTTGTCGCTGTTGGGTGGCCAGGTACATCTGCTGGGAATGCGTGTGGCGAATATTGGTCATGATCCCAACAAATCGATGGAGGAAAATAATAAGGAACTGCTGGACTGCATTCATGATCATTTGGATTTGTTGGAGTAAGTAGAAAAAAGTGGATGGGGGTTCTGAGGAAAATTTCAAAAGGGGGTGTATAAAAGACATATAGAGATTTTACTTTGTAACGAAGACCTATAGAAAGTATTATACAAGAAAATATTTTTTGTGTGTAGTAGCACCTTAGCTATGTTAAGAAGCTATTTAGAGGGTATAGGAGCCATTTAAAAGGATCCAGGAAAATGGAAACCTTTTAAAAAAATTGATTGATAAAAAGCTCTTGAAATAATAAGTACCTGCCGCCTGACGGTCATTTGGGTAAAAAATCCTCTGAAGGACTTGTTCAAAATATCGCTTGTATAAAAAATTCGAATGAAGGCTTCTAGGGTCTTTTGTGAAAATAAGTATTTTTTGTGCAGAAGCCTTTTTAGAAGTCTATTCGGGTATAGAGAATTCTTCTGAAGACAAAAGTCCTTTTTGAAGGCCTTCTGTGTATAGGATCTCTTAAGAAAGTCACCTGTGTTTAGAAGCTCTTTAGAAATCTTTTAAGAAACTTTTTCCTACACCTTTTGTGTGTAGAATCCTTTTAGAGAATCTATTCTGTGAAGAATTTAAAAGACCTTTTGTGTATACAATTTCTTTAGAAGATATTTAGAAAGACTTCTGTGAATAGAAAATCTTCTGTATCTGAAAGCTTTATGGAAGGCTCTTTGTGTCTGGAAGCTCTTTGGAAGACCCCCTAAGTGTAGAAACCCTTAAGACGACCTTCTAT